CCTGCCATACTTTAGATACACCACTGCATAGGTATAACTTCTAGAGGCAGATGCATGAAGGAATTTGTAATAAATCTAATTTTCCTGGAGTAGCCAATGCAAGTTCAAAGGCACACTGTAAGTGAATACAAAATACTTTATGGATAGGAAAATGCTGCAGGTAAGCATTTCAAATACTTGATTTTCCTGTGCCTTTACTTGTAACTTTTTAATTTGGTGGCAGGGTCTCTTTAAATGAGCACTACGTAAGATAAGGACCTCGTCAACTGTCTATCATTTATATTTTTATCTACAATATTTTTTTTTTTTAACCTATTTATCTCATACCTTCAGCCAGACACGTGCAACAGGTTATGCATGCATGATACTGGATGCTGGCCTTGGTGCTCTATTTAAAGACTAGAAAGTTATATTTACTCTTTATTAAAAAAACAAAACACTTTAGTAGAAAACTTTTTTTAAAGGCCCATACACAAGCAGATTGACTTTATATGGAGCAGAATCGTCTAAAATGCTTAGTATGAAAGTTGAATAGGAATGGAGATTTTATACACTTGATAGTCAGAGGTTTACTAACCTGACCAGCAAAAGAAACAGCCGGAATGTGACTGGTTACTATAGGCAGTAAAGATAGCAAGTTTTCTTCCCATTCTTCCATGAGTTGCAAAATAATACAGTATATGAAGAGCCTTGTAAATGTATGTTCTCTGTACTATATGGCATTTCCTGAGAAATTGCTGATAATTCCGAGTGGTTTCTGACATATCACATTCTCTGTGTATATAAAGTTTTATGCTTCTATGGTTTTAGCTTACCTGGTGATTCTTCTGCTCCTCACTGAATGCAACCAAGATAACCGATATGAAGAGATTCAGCACCACAAAAGTCATAAAGATAATGCACGATCCAACGACAAATGAGCCTAGCACGGGGTTATAATCCAGCACCTGGCAATGAAGATGAAGGCAAAATATAATATTAGATGGCATTGAAACAATACAACATTTAAGATGGTCATACTCCTATGGATTTTTTGCAGATTTTCTATGGTCAGATGGAAAAAAGTGCAACAGATTCCTCCATCTACGCTAAACTGCGTGGATGGAAGAATCTCCTGCTGGGACAAGCTTCAGTATCTTGCTAGTCGGCCCCGCTGGCTCTCAAAATACCTGAACAATCTGATTGGATGCAGGCATTGTTCAGGTAACTTGAGACACACAGTTTAGCGTAGATGGAGGAATCTGTTGCACTTTTTTATCTGACCATAGAAAATCTGCAGATAATCTATAGGTGTATGGCCAGCTTTAGACAGGTTTTAGATGAGTGAACAGCATTTTATTTTGAGAGTAGATGAATGAAAACACAGAAATTTACAAATTGAAGGATTAAGCTTTTCACTTGGAAACACTATAAACAGACTATTTTGCATGGAATTGACATTGTCATGAATTGATCACTTATTTGCTGTGTTAGTGGTCAGGACCGGATTTACTCTCCCTGCCGCCCCAAGGCTGGGTTCCACAATACGCCCCCCCGCGCCGCCAACCCATTGAATTGGTTATGCCATCTAAGCGCGACACTTATTATGAATTATTGTATAGAAGAAAGTGACTTGCACAATCAGTGTTGCAGCTCATTGTTTTGTGGTGTGGGATTCTTATATCTAATTTTTGTACTTAGGTGTGACAGGCCTAATGGTGTCACATGGGTGAGTCTCTTGCTGTCCCAGACCTAGAAGTACCCGGCAATTCCTTTAGTTCTTTACACTGAATGTATTGGTTAGGGAGTGAAGGAAAGGAACGTATATGCTGGCGAGGAGTAGGGGATTAAGGCATGCATCATTTTTCACTGCATGGTAACACAGGTTATTGCGGTACCACACTTTGCAGCACAACACACACCTGCCAGGAGGTGTGGTGGGGTGCCGTTAAGAATTAATGGCAGCTCAACTTATCAACACTTCTCAAAAAGAGTGCGCTAAAGGCACGGTTACCGTGCCTTTAGCACAGTGCTGCAGTTTGGAGGGACCCTTAAAAGCACTAAATAATCAATGTAACAGAGGTGTAGCACATATTTCTGAACCCACATAGAGCTCACCTTTACTAAGGGCAAAAAAAGTTATTTTATTTCTAAAATCAGCACTCTGACACAGCATGTGGTACTCCTTTTTGGGAGACATATATATTTTTAAAGCTTCCCTGTCCTTGAGTGCGCCTTAGTAGCCAATAAAGGCTCTCTCAATGGACATTGAATGGACACCTTACAGGGCTTATTCCCGAAGTCCAGCCTCTATCATTGAGGTGAAATTCCTTTTCAGGGAGATTTTAGGAAGCATCTTCTATTGTAGTGTTTTTCTGCAGAACTTTTACACTTTGAACATTACTAATGACTGACAGATTAACTTTAATTCTTAGTTGCCGTGCTGGGCTCACTATCTTTAATTGATTATTAAAATATAAAAGTAAAGATTTTAGTGAATAAGGAAAGTGTGATATCCCTCTTTTTGTGTCCTGAGCACTTGTAACTCATTTTGGAATTGAAGCACATTGTAAACAAATAATATATTGTCCATTTTACCAGTTTACAGATGTTGACAGATAAACCATATGAAATCTAAAATCTAAAAATGAATGAAGTTCAAATATGAATATACAAATCGAATTACTGCCAGTGAAGAAAACAGTGAACCTGACCCTTATTTGCCTTATTTGTTGCTGGGAGATGTGCTTCCACAATGCAAATAATCCAGACAATTCTAGTGCTGAGCCTTTATTGTGCTCCTCCATTCACTCTTAACTCTAATAAAGCAGAATGGTTGTTTACAATACCTCCTCATAGTTGAAGATTCCCAGCTGAAGGCTGACCATAGTCTTTGCTGAATCAAACACAGTTTTGTATGAGTTAAGTTTCCATCCAAATATCAGATTACACTAAAACCAGAACAGAACATACATATAAGTGAAGGCTGATTAAAAATATACTTTTGAGTGGCAAATGCACAATTAATAAAAAGGTAAACAAAGTTCTTATAGCTCCTCGAAAAAAAAAACTTTGAGGTATACTTGGCTCCAAAGACCCCAAATCATGCCTACGGTCCCATGCCCATCTTATAATGTAGTAACTGGAAAAATTGCCAATTTAATATGTAATTAGCATTAACAGGGTATGCTTCCTTCTCATCTAATGGCTGTCTCCCAATATAGCTTCAGAGTCATTATAGTCACAGTTCTGAATTCAGAGTGCCATTACCGCAATCAGATGCCAAGTAAAAAAACTGTGAGGGGAATTTATCAATACTGGAGCAGCTGTCCATGACAACCAATCCGCTTCTCTCTTTCATTTCCAAATTTTAACTGAACAAACTGAAGAGAGAAGCTGATTGGTTGCCAAGGGCAACTGCTCCAGATTCAGGCTGCTCCAGTTTTGATAAATTCCCTCCTGTATGTTTTAAAGAGGCATTAAGTAAATTAGTAAACTGTCACCTTGCTAAAATGTTTGCTCGATTTTTCTTAAATCTGTGATTTGTAAAAGCTTTGGATGCTAAGGGGGTGATTTAAAAACTGCTCGCATATCGAATAGCTATGCGAAGAAGATCAGAGGGGCATATAAATGTCTGATGCTCCTCAGCTCTTTCTAGTGTCCATAATTTGATGCAAATCTCCTTCACATAGCTGCTCACTTGACACACGATTTATAAATCAACCCCTGCTTAAGGGCCAGAGAATGTGGATAAAGGCCACCAAAAGGAATTTAGATATTAGAGCAGCAAGAACAGAAAACAAATGCCAGAGCCACTCCCCAGACAGGCAGCTTAACACCTTTAGGCTCCAATGCAAAATGTGAAGCAATGCACAAAGAAAATATCTTTATTATTAATAGCACTTATAATGTACATTAAAATCTCATTTAATTAATAAAAATATGCCATCCTGATGCTGATGCTTCATTTGTGCAAAAATGAAGGCAGGCATCAATCTCAGAATCAGTCCCCTGACTCTGGGGGTAATAGCAACTGCTGTTTCTGCTCTCTTAGCTGCCATGCCACTTGTAAAGAGGGGCCAGTCTCCGTATAGAAACATTAACTGTATAGGCACCATGGAGGTGCCTCTGTTGGCACAAGTAGCCCTTTATAGAGTGCAAAAAGGCTCAATGCAGACATAAGTTTTGGGTCCACTTTCAACACTCATCACTATAATCACATACATGTGCATAAAATCCCCTAGAGAGATGTTTGACCAGTGGCTCTTTCCTATGAGAATGTAATGGGTGTCCACACTTGGACCTGCAAATTGTTCTTAGGCACAGTCCACAACTTGCCCGTACTTCCAGTTTGCAGACGTGTAAATCTACATTTGTCCAATGCCATGCTCAATGACTTAACCAGAACCAGACCTATAACTTGTGATGTCACAGACAGGCTATGCGTCTGAAAGGTAGACTTTGGCACACTATGGAAGAGCTTCATTGATCAGTAACTGGAGGCCAGCATTCATCTACCAGGCTCCTTTGTCCTCCTCTAAATACTTTTTTGCTACTTTGCACTTTTGTCCTTTCAGGCCGCACAGAAGTTATGTACTACTGAGGTCAGTTAGCGTGCCATTGGTGCATAGAAGGTAGCACAAAGTATTTATAGATGCAGTACGAATCCCTGGCAAATATTTAATGTAGACACAGGAGGCCTCTGTAGTTTACGTCTACTGTTACATTATCAGCATCTAGTAGACTAGTGTTTCCATGACAGGTGTTACTATAGGCAAGTCCTACTGCATATATTTTCTGTCTTTACCCTTGTAGATATCACACCACTTTATGAATCTGTAACAGAGAAGTAACAGAATACCAGCATACTCACAGCAATAGAATAGGCCAAGAACATAATTAGAATGACAGTGATAAATCCAGAAATGTCACCCCAAGCCCTGCGCAGAGTTGCAGTGATCATGTTCAGTTTTGGGTTTAATCTCAGCAGATGCCACAACTTGATGGTTGATAGGAGCACTAGGAAAGCTATAAGGTAGCCCAGGGCTGCATCTGCAGCAGCCGTTTCATTAAAACTTACAAACCTGAAAAACAATAAAGCAAAAAGGCATTTTATTCTTTCCTTTGTAAACAAAAAAAGAGAAGCAGGCAAAATAAAACAACAACATAACTTAATTTAGCCTAAATTACAGCAGTAACAGACATATTTTATAAATAACCGACAGCCTTTATTAAGCCAGTATAGCTTTAACATGTTACAATCACAATACTGGTGGTACAGGCTATTACAATATAAGGAAGACATTACAATACAATTCAAGACAAGATGGTAAGGAGGGCCTGCAATCTAAAAGGGAAGGGCAAGTGATACATGAGGAGGTACTAGAAAACATATGGTATGTATACTACTCACTCATCCTTGTGATCCTGGTAGTAGTTAATGTCCCTGTTTCCTAGAATGGACCTCTTTACAAACACAGAGAGAGCACTCCAGCTTATTATAATCACAGCCAACTCCAGCAGGTTCCACTTGCTGCGGAGATACCCCCATTTAAGAGTTTTCATTAGTTTTCCCTGTGGACAGTATACAAACTGTTACATAGTTTTACAAAACGTCTACATTGCGTTTATTCCATTAGCAATATTTGGGTTTATGTGCAACATTTGTGCTTGTTTATTTTTTTCAAATTAATTCAAAATGACATTTGGACGTTAAAAAAAACAATATTAAAAAAACATGAAAAGAAAAAAAGAAAAATTACTAATTATACACCTCCAGACCACTTCCTGTACAGTATGCCCCAATGACTTTCCGAGCCTTCTTTCGGGGTTCTGTGAAAGCTGGGGATCCCACATTTCAGAATAAATGTTCAAACAAGAGGACTTATCACAGGATTTGCGATCCTCAGCTTTCCTAGTTTCCCTCAGTAAAAGTGCCAGTGATTTCACCCTTACCTACTGTAGGCAGGTTTGAGGGGTGGGTATTTTATTTTTCTGCCATTGTTTTTTTAATTGAACGGCTTTGCACATGGGGTGTGGGTCTACAAGATAAGCAGACTTTGCAATAATGCGCACAGTAAGAGTAGTAACCTCATCCTCCGTCACAATCATTATGTTTACTACATGTTTTGACTTTTGTTAAATGCTGCTGAATATTTTATTCTTAAGACATATTCACCACAAGTTCCATGGTGCAATATGGACAGCTACCTATAGCCAAACAGATGAGCAGTATCTACAGAAGTTTTGTTTTAAGGCCGCACTTGAACTGCTACTCCCACCTTGCCCTTTTAATCTTTGTCCAAAATTTTCTCAGATAAAAAATCTTGTATCACAGCAAAGGAGATGGCACCAGAAGACCCACAGCACAAAGCTTCTATCATGCCACCCATAGAAGGTGCTAGCTGATAAAGGACCTTCACCTTGCTTCACTGTAGGAACTGCCTTGCATTTGAGAAACCCATAGCCACCCATTCATATCAGGAGCAGTCTACACATCAGGAGCTTCCCAGCTTTTACATCAGGAGCCCCCCTTTCACATTAGAGTCCTCCCTTTTACATCAACGTTCCCTCTTCACATCAGAAGCCCCTTAACATCAGTGTCCTCAGTAGTCCCCCCTTTACATCAGAGTCCAACCATCACACCAGGAGCCACAGCTGCAGGAGCATGGGAGAGGGTGAGAGGTGAAGCAGGCCTGGACAGAGCTGTACTTTTCAGAATTGATCCCACCCTCACTGCATTAGCGTCATTGCGCCTACACCATGGAAAGGCATGATGCTGTGTGAAAATTTTGAGGCACCCCTGAATAAACCAGAAGGCACCCTTGAGAGAGGCTGGTTAAAAATAAGAAATTCAAATCTGGATTGAGAGCAATATGTAATCTTCTATTGCTGACCTACCAAAAATGTCTTGTCTGTCTCTGGCTTCAATAGCAGCTTGCATATTTTTCTCTTCTGTGTTTAACATAAGCATTAGAGAATACTGTATTTAGAAATAATTAGGGATGCACCAATATATCGGCCCCAAAACATATCGTCCGAAAATGGCACTTTTGGCCGAAATTGCCGTGTATCCCAGCTTTCTCTCCTACCCACTGGGCGCTGATCTGTGTCACAGCGAGGAGGAGCAGTGCGGGAGGAGAGCGATGTGAGCAGCCGGCGTCTCTCCTCCCCGCATTGCCCAGCATCCTGTGAGAGATCAGGAGAGCGGCATTGTGGGGTGTCGGTGACAGCTGTCACAGGAGGTCGGCAGTGCATGGGAGGAGTCAGCTGTCAGACCTAGCTCCCCGCACCACTCCCTCAGCCTCCTGTGACAGCCGATCCAGGATGAAGAGCGAGTACAAACACTCAGCGATAAGTGATCGCTGAGTGTTTGTAAATAATTGAGGACAGAGTATGTTTACTGTGTCCCCAATTATGAATGAATGGGAAGTGATCTACATCACCTCCTGTTCATTCATGATTGTGGACATGGTAAACACACTATCTCCACAAGTTATGAATGAACAGGAACACTCAGTATAGAGGATTCCTGTTCATTTATAACATGAGCTGTAGAAAAAGAGATTGAGGATTCTGTATTCTCAATCTCTTTTTCTATTTTAAAAGGGAATACGTTTAGACCCCTAATATTTCCCCGAACCCCCAACAATAAAGTAACAAAAAAAAACATTTAATACAAATTATAAATAAACAAAAATAAAATATAAAAAAATTTAAAAGTTTATAAAAAAATAAACAAAAATAAAATATTTTTAAAAATTTGAAAAAGTTAGAAAAAAAAATAATTTTCGGTTTTGGTTTTGACATTTTCATTTAATTTTGCACCTCTAGAAAGAACTATGCTCAACCCTATAAGTCATGAGCAATACAGGTAGCTGAGTTTGCTGATGTCACTCGGTATGCCTTACCTGCACCACCATGTAGTATATAACAAAGAGGAAATAAATCACTTCAGCTGCCACAACAAAGATGTGTAAGCCGTCTGTGTAGGGATACAACCTGATGCTTTGAAGATCAGCGTGAGTCATGAAGGCACCTTAAAGAGAAAAGCTAAGTCACTATTTTTGGTGCCATTAACATTTTCAGGAGACAATCATAACAGAAATTAATTAGACACTACTGAATCCTCCATTCTGTTCACAGGCTTGAGGTTGGTAGAAGGAGGAAATTGGTTGTTAAGCTTAAAAACACATGAAAAATAACCTAAAACGTTTCTGTTGTGCGTTTTCAGGTGCTCCCATTGAAGTCTATGGGGCAAAAAATGAAATGTGTAATTCTGCCCAGAACATACCTTGTGTATTTTTTTTAATGCAATAGCACGATGCTCAGGTGTGAACAGGTGCCATTGAATATAATGGGAATATTTAAGTTTAATGTTGTTGCACTTTGGGAAACGAGTGAATCACACAACTGTTTAATATCTCAATTTCTGTTCAGTTGAATCTACTTTTCAATATAAATTTGTTTAGCCACCCTGCTTCAAAGGGTATCTATGGTCAACAACTATTTCTATATTGAATTCCCACAAGTTCTATCCCACTCCTAATAAACATATCGATCTAGAAGCTTGTAAACTTACTGACACCATTTCACTCAGCCCTGTGAATAAGCACCTTCTGTCATCACTAAGCCTGACATCTGAATTACAACTTAGCATCTGAACTTCCCACAATGTCATTTCTTATCATTGCTTGCTGGAAGCAATGCATTGTGGGATATGTAGCCATGAGAAATTGAGATTGCATCACACCAAGCAGCAGGGAAAGAGACGCAAAGCACACCGGGAATCCAGGTTTTTGGAAGTGATGGTCAGACAGAAGGGAACACTCACTACAAAAAAGGGATTTTTTCATGTAAGCTTTGATTGCATTAATAAAAACAAGTCTAGTATGTATTCCTATTACAATACTGATGTTATAATAGGATAGTATATGCTGTGACTTTAGAATTTCTTAAAGCAGAGGTGTCCCCGCAAATTTAGAGCTACCTGGCTGAATCTAGCTAGTGCTTAGTTGACAGATTGTGCTGACATTGCTTGGTTTCCCATAAACTTGGTAAGATTGCCAGCTCCTGTTGGCTACCAGGGAGTGTCTATGGCAATAGAGTGGGGAGGGCCAATAGAACTAGGTTATGAATATTTAAGTCTTTCTATAGCCTGCTACTAGGTGTTTTGTTGCCAGTGAAACATGCTGGGGAAGGGATAAATATTTAGCACTAAGCTAAACCCTGGTCTTGGCTTAAGGACCTCATACTGTAAAGCTGTTAGTGGAGCTGGGTGGAACTGTGATCTGGGAATTTGGGAATTTGAAGACCCTCCATGTGAGTACTATGGTGAATTAATATCTTTCAAACACACAAAGTGGCTAGCGCCCAACTTGCATTCACACCCTGCAACCAGCCAAGGACTTATCCATGGGACAAAATGCTAGACCACCCTCTTTAGGGTGGTATTTAGGTGTAACATAAAACATGGTCTGATTGCAGATACTCCTATCCTGCCCCCCCCACTTACTTGAAACGTGGTCTTCTTCTCCCCATGGGCTTGCTTCCCTTTTCTAATTTGGCATGGCTGTGCATGGCGCCACCTTTGAAAGGATCAGTGAATGCAGATACTACTAGTCCCATCAGCCACCGCAGCAGAGGGACTCTTAGATTCAACGGACTACAAGTGTGGTTATGTCACTTCACTTGTAGTCCATTGACACTTCCTGTTGTCGATGTTACTGAATGTCCATACTTTGGTAGGGACATGGATGAGAGGAACAGTTTGCAGGAGCCAGAGCATTGCATCCATGATCTATCAATTGCAGTTGTAATGCTTTACTGGCTGCTATGCAAAAAATAATAAATGCATATTTTGTTATTTTATGAAGGAGTGTACATTTATAAGTTTTTTTCTGAAAAGTGGAATGTCCTTTTAAGACACATTTGTTATAATACTGATAAAAGAGAAATAGAACATGTATAGCTTGTTACTTTGCACCTACCTAATGCATTAGTTTCAAACATTAGCCGGACAATGCAGAAGAGGTTGACGTTGGCATTATAAATAGTAAATTCTACAAACAGAGCTCTAGTGAAATTGTCTAACCAGACATTGTTGAAAAGATATTGCAGAGTCCTGAAAAGAGAGAAAATAAAGACATTGTAATTGTACTAAAAAATCTTTGATTGCAGTTGGATTCTAAGTCACATTGGTTTTCTGTCGGGCAGCCTGTATTGCTGGCTACAGCCCTGACTGGCGAGGGTTAATTATCCTGTGTCTCACTGGCTGCAGCACTAGTCTAGTCAGCTGTGGCTTAATTCATCTAACCACACACCTCCTGCACTGGGATTGGCCTTGTTGCTGGTGGCGCCCTATTTAGGCATCATCAGCCTGTTCCCCAGTGCTTGTGATAGTTCTTGCTTTACAAGCTGTGTGCTGTCCCTGCAAACCCTGTGTCTGGAAATCTTGTTTGTCTTCGGTTCTGACCTTGGCCTGTCCCTGGATTACGCTTTGCTTTCTGTCAGCCCTGACCTCAGCTAGTGCCCGGATTACCCTGTCCAGCCACCAGCCTTTGACTCAAGCTTGTCCCTGATTACTCTCTGGTAGTGTCTTTCTACTTCGATCCGTACCTCGGTTTAGCACATCTGGCCAGCCTGTGGCTTCACCTGATCAGAACATATAGTTTAAGTCCTGGGGGCATCCAAGTACCGGTAGGCGTGCTTGGCTTATGGGAACGGTGGCTGCTATAGATGGAAAAACTTGTCAATATTTGTTCTGACAGCGTGCGTCCACAGTTGGTCCTGACACCTACTTCACCTCCCATAACCAAAAACTTCTCATTCTTGCTGTGTTTTTGGCTGGCCATACACCTATCAATTTTTTTTGTTCAACCTGCGGGCTGAACAAAAAAAATTGACCCAATTCCTCCATCAACACAAACAGCATGTCCATCAAGGAATCCCATTGTTTACATTGTATTCTGAATACCCAATCAGGGTTGGCTGCTGGTTTTGATTGATCCAAAATTTTCCAGCTGGCTCCTTCGATCAGCTGATCGAGGAATGCCGGTTGAAAGGGATTGGACAGCCCCACACACTGTGTGAATTTTGGCCAGTAGGTCAAAAACCAACCAACATTTCACCATTGTATGGGCACTTTAAGCCTGCTATATAGCTGTAAACTGTAGCTGAAACAAGAAACTTATTGCTAAAATGCTAGGAAGGAGTTACAATTTCTATATTTCAAACAAAGTAAAACAAATTGCATGCAATATTCAGCAGGATGTGTTGGCTTTCATTTTTAGTGCCAAACTAGTTAACCAGACCATAAAAGACAGTCTTTAGTGCAGAGGATCCTGGATCAGGAGAGATTAGTACACAAACAAGCTAAACCCTGGCCACAAAAAATACATTTAAATATATTTCTTAATAGCCAAAAAGGATAATCCCCTCTAGAGAGGCAGAACCAGCTGTCAATCAGGTAGTGGGGTGGATCCCGACAATGTCGGGATCTTTCCTGGCTGTAGCGCGTCTCTGCATTGTCAGCATATAGCTATATGCTGAGTTTTGGGAAACAGGCGGACATTAATAAAGAGAACTAACACCAAAAAGGTTTGGTTATACGGTAGTTCTCTTTTAAGTAAAAATAAAATTAGAAACATACCTGTGTGCAGTTGCTCTATCACTTCCCAAATGCACCACATAACCCCCTCCACGGTATGTTGTCAGTCGACCCCAGGTAGGGTGGCCTCTAAGCTTGGACTGGCTTTTGTAGTACCAAGCAGAGTCAGTGTTAGTTGCATTGGTGAAAGCAGAGGAATTCCAGCCTTCCCCATAATGTTCCATATCCTCAGTATCCAGGGAATAAAGTGCTCGACAGTCATCAATCGTGTTTTGGAAGACAGAAGCTATTGGACAAGTGTCCTTTTTGACTCGCAGTTGGCGAAGTCTTGCATTGCCAACCAACTTGGATTTACCATCTGTCACAAAGCCTGTCCCACATCAAACAGACAAAGAAGTATATCTTAAATAGTAGAAGTATATCTTATACTATAGGATGTTCAATTATGAATCAGTATGGATATACAATATTAATTTATTTTTTTAAGGGAATTGAAAGTATCACCTTATTTTACTGAAATTATTATATCTGCTTGGATGTCTCTACCTACCACAATATGCCTCCCTGACTGTTCTAGTGCTGTTCTGGTCAGTCACGGCTGCATCCAGCAACAGTCAGGGAGGTTAGTGATTTGAAAACTGATCCCAAATATGAATGTAGTGTACATAGTCAGCAGTCAGCATTTTCTATATTTCAATGTAGAAAATGGACACTGCCGCTTTAAGAGACTTCAGCAGCATTACTACTGTAAGAATATGCAACAATTGAGCTGGTTGACTGCAAAAAGGGGAGTAGGGAAGCTTGGATCACTTGAACCAGCTGAGATAGATATGCTTTCAGTGGTTGGAGTGGATGGCACAGGCCTCTGATTAAGGACACTGGCATTGTGCTATAATATACAGGTGGCCTATTCTACCTATCTAGTACACATAGCAGAGAAGCAAAACGATGGGGCCCCTGTCTGTGTGATAGGAAATAGGATATTGTTCTCCTTTTTCTGGAGTCCATTGAGGGACACAGCTCTGAAAAATTCTGAGATGCAGGGTTATGCTGCTGCCTCTAGGAGAATTGGATGCTATGCATAACATTAAAAGCCTGCCACTTTAAGGCAATAACACCTCACACCTGCCATTTGTAGCAAGCAGTATGAAAGGAAATGTGGAAATGTGGGGAGGGAGCGGTGTCTCTCAATAGACTCAGAGAAAAGGATTTCTCAGTAAGAACAAAATCCAGTATATTCTCTATCGTCCATTGAGGGACAAAGTTCTGAAAATTGTAGCTGTATGAAAAATATAACTGGTAATTGCTGCATTTAGTGTCTGATACTATTTGGCCATCCCAAAAACAAATGCTGCTAAGCGGTTTTTGGATGCACCTGACAGTTTTGTGTATGATTGGTGCTATGGATGTGATGCCTTAAAAAATGTTGATTACAAAGGCTGACCAAGGGTTGTTCCTTTCCTGGAAACCTCAAGGAAGCAGAAGAAAATGGAGATGTCTTTTATCAAGCTTTGTAACTATAATGATCTGCAGTCATTGTGCCAATGTTAATGTTGTTATATTAAGAATGGGGAGTGGGTTTGTATGTAATAATTGCAATACGGCTTTTGGAAAATGGCGGTGTTGATATGTGCAGGAAAGTGCACATGGAAACATGTGAATGCTAACTGGCAGATAATTAAATAAAGGGAAGGCTGGACTTTGCTGGCTTTGTATATACAATAGAGCAAAGTTCCACAAAGTTTTGGTATCTACTGTTGCACCGTTTACTGGGTGGTATAATTCCAGCGGAAAACTCTCTAGGTTCGTACCACCCTTGCCTTTTGAGTATTAAAGGGGTTCTTGCAGAAAGCATACCACAATGTGGGCATGTATGTGAGAGCCACCACGTGAAAAGCTAGGAGTGTCAGGAAAAGCTCTAAGCAAGCTGGGTCCATTTACAAAATCAGTCTGCTTACCCCAAACATAGAAGCTTAAGTATTTTAGAGGGACAAAAGGGGCAGGATATGGACATAGTAGTGAGAAGTCACATGATTCTTAGAATGCCATATCTAGATTATTATGATCGTTTGCAGCCTAACATCTGTTAATAAAACATTCAGAAATGTGCCCTCTTTTGCCAGATTATTTTAGAGAATCTCTATGACTGAGCCCAGGAATGGGTGAAACATGTCAGAGGGGGCGGACTATGCGCAGTACAAACTTTCAATATACCGATTCAGTGTGGAACGGTGTGGGGCTGGAATTTTCCTTTACTATGGATATGTAATGTTTCATATTTTTGACAAGTTCCCCCAACAAGTGAAACTCTAGTGTTGTTAAAAGCAAATCCCATCTAGATGAACTATATCCCATGGCAAGAGTTTTAGCTATTAAAAAAAAAAAAAAAATGGTTTGCCTTGCCACATCAACCTGACCGCTAAGAGGAAGAATCTGCCTCCAATGAGTGTTGTAATTACAAAATGAGCATCATCTACATCCCATAAGTCAATAAGAGTTTTAAGATGTATCTTAGAAAAAAATTATATCCTATTGCTTCGAATTTGACTTACTTCAAATTTGACTTACTCCACCCACTATGTTCAGGTGGAGTAAGATAAGAAGCTGCTGCTGTTATTATATTTATTCACATTATAATGTATTGCTGAAACTAACGGACCGCAGTTCAGACAGAGGGATGGGGAAGATGCTGTAGTGGGGAACTCCATTTGCATGCACTATTTTTTCTGACCGCAACGGAATGCAGGCATTATTTTGCCATGCGTTCCGGTGCAGGCGAGCGCACCGCGGTGCCATTGACTTTAATGCACCGCCACGCCCCCTCCCACCCCAGAACGCAGTGAGCTGGCCGGGATGCAATCCAGTGTCTTCCAGTACTAAATCGGCCGGAACACACTGGAGCTGGTGTGAACATACTTTTTATTTAATATTAAAAAAAAGGTTTAAAAATCATGTTTTTTTTGGGGGGGGGCGGGGGTGCACTTAATGGGTTCTTGCACCGGGGCCCTGAGGTTTCTAGTTACGCCTCTGGTAGCAGCTATATATGTTATTTGAATAAAGTTTTCCTTCCATTGTTTAACCTGATACATACAGAGTACAAATAAATCTTGTAAATACAAATTGTACCTGGATAGGTTCCATAGAGGTTATTGATGAGGGTAGTGTTAGCCCAGTTAAAGAAATCTTGGTAGCTGCAGACCTTCTCTAGTCCGTCAGTAAAGCTGTCCCCTATGTGCTTATTAAGGTAGTATGAGTTTGGGTCTCTCTGTCCATATGCCACTAGTAGAAGCATCCACAGGAATCCTAAGTAAGCTGAAAGACAAATGCAAAAGTAATGCGTTACAGCAGGTTATCAAACTCAATTTCATCGCGGGCCACATCAGCATTATGGTTTCCCCAACAGGCCGGTTGTATCTGTAAGACTATATAAATGTATCTACTTTTTATCATATTGAACAATTGCCTCTGCATTCGGTTATTACTGGTTTTAGTATTAACTTAATAACTAGCTCTGAAAGTAGAAGTTTAGGAAAAATAAAGGCAATTATTATAATAGTGCAGACTCTCAGGTGGCTGTTGAGATTCTTTGGTGGGCTGTGCGGACTCTCAGGTGGCTGTGCAGGTTCTATGGTGGGCTGTGTTGACTCTCAGGTGGGTTTGCAAGTTCTATGGTGGGCTGTGTGGACTCTCAAGTGGGTCTCGGTCAGCCTTGGCCGGTGCGAGCGGCGTGGATCCACAGGAAAGAGGACATTTGCTGCATGCGCTGTGAACAGGCGCCGCAATTCACAGGAAGGCTGCCGGGAACTTACTGGGGACCTTGGCACCCTCCTGCCGCTGCTCTGCTGACCTCTTTCACCTGAGATTTCCTTAGTGTGCCAAAATATTGTTAGTCCTACATCCTTCCTGCTTGCCTGCATACCCATGTTTGTTTTTCTGGCTTGTGCAAAAAGTTGAACCTCCACTTCACACAATTGGAGAAAGGGGTGCAGAATTTGTGTGCCTCCTCTACTTCTTCTGTGCAGTATTCTCCTGCCTCCTCTCTTCCCCACAATTTGCTCTCACTGTCTCCTGTTGCTCAGATATGATCTGCCCCCATTGACTCCCTACTCCCCTTAGCTTTCTCCCTACCCCCCCTCCAGTCCCTTCTGCTTCCCCCTCTCCTGTGACTGACTGCTTTTGCAAAAAGGCTGATGGATTCATTATGGGCTTCAAATTGTCATAAGAATACATTCATATTGATCTGAGAAGAAGTTGTAGATTTTGGGTTCATTTCATTTTATATATATGAGTTTACATTCCACGATTATGTGCTCAGACATTACCTAGTATTTCTCTTAGTAAACCAAACACTTTTTGCTCTTTGATGTAGTTATCTTTCATCTTTGAGATATCACTAGGAGGGGGAGGCTGGTAAACGTTGCTGTCTCTGCGAGATTCCAGTAAAAGGTTTGAATCACCTGCGGATACACAATAAACAGAGATACCCTTTAGTACCCTAAATCTTAATGTCCTTGGTTTAAAAAAATGTGATTGAAGAAACCATTGATGTGACAAATATGTCTGCTTTGATTTCCTTATTTGTGCTAGGACAGGGTTTTCTATGGTGAAAATGTCACCTTCTGCTCATGACCCCTCATTTAGGCTGGGTTCACACCTAGGCGTATCGATCGTGACAATCGCGCGTTTCCGAGGGCTACCTGGCTGTATCCCAATGGATATGCGTGGCAAATACGCCCCAAAGAAGCTCCTGTACTTCTTTGGGCGTAGGGCGTTTTGCAGCGCGTTCCTATGCACTGTAAAACGCCCAGGTGGGAACCGTGCCCATAGGCAATCATTGGTTTTCACATGTTGAGCGTTTTACAGAGCGTAGGAACGCGCTGTAAAACGCCCAGGTGTGAACCAGGCCTCAGGGGTTAGCATTTAGCCCAGTGGGTAGCCCCACTGTAAGTGTTAATAAAAAGTTTTCCTGGAGTTCTTTAAAATAAATGCAGAGAAACTCCATATAAAAAGCATTTAGCCCAATAGGAGCCTAAAACACATAGCCCAAGCAAAATAAAAAGGAGATAAAACACCCAAACATGTAACTTTTTTTTTTTTACTCATGACTCCATAGCCATCATAACAACAGGAACCCCCAGATAATACTGGCCTGACAGTAAAATGATGAAAACATGAACACAGGACCACCACAGGGTGGAAAATAAGTACTGAGACCATAAACAGACTGCTCCTAGATAACTGGAGAAACTTCCAGGATTTAAAGTGACATTAAAGGCAAAACAATTTTTCCCTCCCCCCAATGTAAATGTTAGCACTTACCTTAAATGATGTCTCTTTTTCCGATCTTCCTCTTCTTTCCCCATGTTTTCATCTGTCCCTCCAGCGGTGTGACGTCACTCCGATCCAGCGCTGACTGCTCTGTCTCTCCGATCCACCGGTGTCTGCAGGCGGGTGCACGCGTTCATAGACTTACCTTGCGTCCCTGCTCGTCTCCCGGCCGAGAATCGGAACTGCGCATGCGCCCGCCCCAAGATCCTTTGCGGCTGTACGAGTAGTTCCTGATTCTCGGCGCGGGAACGAGCGGCGATAACGAGGTAAGTTTAAAATGATTTTAAGCGTTTTTTTTTTTTTACACTTCTTGCCTATATCTACTGCATGCTAGCAGTAGATATAAGCAAAAAAAAAACCGGAGGGTTTAGAACCCCTTTAACTTATTAGGCATGAATTTACTAGTTTTATCGGCTGGCTAGAGAGACGTCCAGGAGTTAACATTAACTGGCAAGTATCAACTAGCAGCTCATGACATCAGAATCCCATTGAAGAAACAAAAGAAACTAAAATAATAAAGCAGAAGAAAAAGAGACATCCATTCCCCTGAGGACAGTAAGCCAAACTGGCAGGTGTGAGGTGGGAGGGGTTATGTCCCTTAAAGTGGCTGAATTTCATTTTTCTCAGGATTCTTCAGAGCTGTGTCCCTCAATGGAGAGAAAATCACTTGATTCCCCAATTTTAAATTGTATAAAACAATATCTGTGAGAAGTAAACGTATACCTGGAAATATTACAGTATCTCCATGATATTCTCTGCCATTTCAGAGAGGTATGCACATCGTAAAGTGCCAACCTGGCATTTTTCCTTTGTGCCCAAAAACATATCAAAAAGCATCTAGCTACCTGCCATGGCCAATATCCCAACCCCATCCTTTCCTCCAGTTTTTACATGGTCAGCCTTACAAGATCTTTTTCTAAATACAATATTTTTTGAAGTAGCATTAGTATTAATACTGCCTTTGGTCGGATAGATTTCTTGAGTTACCTGGGGTAGAAAGGTTTCCATTAAGAGCAGTTTCTTCTTCATCTTCTGGTTCCACCTTCTTAAGAACTAGAGCAAAAAATGCAGCAAATCCCAGTACCTAAAACACAATAAACTCGGGCTGTAAAAAGTCATACTGGGCTAATCTGTTGCATGTTTTTAACATAAAAAGAGAAGAAAAAACAATAGTTGCTCTCTTAAAGTCTTTTGAGTATTGCATAATATTTATTAGTATGTATTTTTAAAGAGTATCTAATATGTATTTTCGTGTGATGTAGGGACACCTCAAGAAATGCATCTCCCAGGAGCCCATTCCCTATACATAGTGTGTGGGCAGGCTCTTGGGAGTCAAGGCAGCAGCATTGTTTTGCTAAGAGACAAAATCAATGTATGCATTTTGAGTGGGACAGGGAGGACTAGAATCCCTATAATAGGAATATGAAATTATTATTCTAAAATAAATTTTGTCTATCCAATTGATGTAAATCAATTTCCACAGCAGATCTCTAATTCTGTTAGGCCAATCTTGTACATTTTCATACTGCAATCCACTTAATTATTTGGATATAAAGCCAATAAACTGTTTATGTAACACAATGGTGTTTTTAGCTGCTCATCTGGTGTTCTGCTTTAAGTGCTAATTCTTAACTGCAGTAACCCATAGCATTCAACTAGAATTCACCTTCTGTTGGTCTGACATCAGAAGAGGCAAGTGGCTGCTATGGACTACTGCACTTAGAAATTAATATTTAAAGACAGGACTGTAAAAGTATATTAAGCCTGCACTAGTTTTGGTTTGTGCAGAGTTGGGAGGCAGTTGATGTACACTTGATCCACGGTATACTCTGCGCATTATATTTCCTATTTATACATTTTTCTTCTATACTTTGTGCATGTTTATATATTATCAGTGTTTTTCTAAAATGGGTCCTGTAATAGCCCCGCTTTTAGTTATACATACCACAAATATGAGATTACTTAAATGTAGGGATGTCCCGATACCGAAGCTAGCATCGTTATCGGGACCAATAAAGGGCATTTTGACAAGTACTTGTACTTGTCAAAATGCCCCGATGCATAGCGCTGATGCTTGCACTGTTTTTTTGTTTTTTTCTCTGTACCTAAGTAAGACGGGGCCTGGGCTTAGTGTTTTGTGTGAACAAGAAGAATCTATTGCTGTAGTGTATTCTATATGTACTGTACATGTACTACATATAGGATGCACTGCAGCAATAGATTTACAATTTCTCCTGCTAACATAAATAGGTTAAATGATCCAAAGTACAACTACATGTTATGTACTATTATGTACATAGGATCATGATTTAACCTATTCATGTTACCAGGGGATAATTGTAACTCTATTACTGCAGTGTACTGAACGTGTGTGCTGTATATGTACTATGGATCATGATTTAACCTATTCATGTTAGCAGGGTAGAATTGTGAGCGCCTCCCACAAGTTGAGCACCGAGACGCGATGCAGCAATCCTGCCCAGCGCCGACTACGAGAGGCACCGCGTGAGGCAACAGGGATCACAGTGAAACTGTGAGTGAGGGAAGCTGGGACAGGGCTGGCTGTAAATCTATTGCTATAGTGTACTGGACGTGTGTAATGTATATGTAGTACATACATACAGCACACACCTCCACTACATTACAGCAATAGATTTACAATTCTCCCTTGCTAACATGAATAGGTTAAATCATGATCTATAGTACATAACGTGTAGTTATACTATGGATCATTTAAAGTCACCTGTCCCCTTAAAAAAAAAAAAGAAAAAAAAAAGTATCAGTGATTGGTATCGGCAAGTACATGAGGGGAAGTACTTGTACTTGTACTTGGTCTTGAAAAAGTGGTATCGGGACATCCCTACTTAGATGCATAACCTGGAATGTGAGAAGGATCAGAGAGAAACTCTGTGAACTGTGTGAACCCAGTTTGCCTGAGTTCGCCCAAGCCTGCTCAAAACTGTGACGTCCACTCCCCCCTCCCAGCCCAATTAGTCGTGGCAGTTACATAGTTAGTCAGGTTGAAAAAAGACACAAGTCCATTGAGTTCAACCTAACTCGACAGTTGCAGCATGGGCTTCCCCCCCTTTGTAACTTATAGCTAAGGGGCAGGAGATACACCTGGGGTGTGAAGAAGGGGGGTGGATTGGGCGAACTCAGGTGAACTGGGTCCACACCAAGCCCAGGCTCATCACTACTCAAGAGGATTGTAGTTTTATCCTAAATAAATCAAAGGTTGATTACATAAACAAGAACTGCTCTGTCTTCAGGATACATGTTGAGGGCAGTTCATTACTGGCTTTAAAACATACATGGATAGGTTGGGCTTATCATGCTACTTCGAAATCTTTATTTGGGGGTTTCTATTTCAAAATCTACAAAATAAATCAATTTTGCACTAGATCAGCAATGTCTGTATGTTATTTTTTAATGCAATATCTTTTTCAGTATTCCTAGACTTAGGGGTCTATTCACAAAGCTGCCGAAGGATTTGGCCGTAGCTTCGGCCGATCCTTCGGCTGGCTTCGGCCCCAGGACCCCTTCGGTTCAGGAGAACCGAGGGGGTGCTGTACGGGCTATTCACAATAGCCCGTACAGCTCCCGATCACGGCCGAGCAGCTCAGTCGAGCGCTGAGCCGTGCTGAAAGCTGAAGCTGGCCGAGCGGCCGGCCATTGGCCGGCCGACAGCCTGAATTTTCCCAGCCTGCAATGTCCTGTGAGATATCTTGGGACTAAATATTATTAACACAAAAAATTAACAGGGAGATAAGAGAGAGAAGACAGAGACACATTTTTACTGGTAATACCGTATTTTTCCGTCTATAAGACGCCCCTATGTATAAGACGCCCCCAACTTTTCTTGCCCAAAATTCCGAAAACAATATTTTAAATGGTATAATGCATCACACTTACCTCAATCACGTTATGGTCCGACATTACAGCTCCGGGCACTGGCTACACGCTCTCCCGAGCGCCGGCTGACGTCAGGTACAAAAGATTTATGATTGGATTACAGAGACAATATAACAGTTTTCCTCCAATCATAAATCTTTTGTACCTGACGTCAGCCGGCGCTCGGGAGAGCGGATTACAGAGCCACTCTCCCCAGCAACAGCTGACGTCAGGTACAAAAGATTTATGATTGGAGGAAAACTTATCTTGTCTCTGCAATCCAAAGTTTCACTCGTGAGGCTACCGTAGTTTGCAGTGGTTTCGGCAGTTTCGCAACCGCGGTTCTCCTCTCGGTACCCATGTATAAGACGCCCCTCTATTTTCAGGTAAACATTTTAATGAAAAAGTAGCGTCTTATACACGGAAAAATACGGTACTCCAGACATAAAAACTCCTTGCTGTGAAATATCAGAACCCTCTAAAACTAACTTTTAAAGGTTGCGTAATAAAGAGACTCTCGAAGAATGAGATTGCCATTGAGATCAGCCACTTGATGGAGCTGTCCTTTCCATAATGTAAGCCGTATAACATTGTGAAGAAGCCTGATACACCACTGGTCCCTGCCACAAGGAACCAACCGATGAATACAAACCACCAGGGCAGCCCCTTGGCAGTGTTCTTCTTCTTATCCTCAGACAGACTGGCCGTGGATGAGCACCTACAGAATGGTGATACAACACGGATAAAAGTCAGTAAGCACAGTGTTTAGTAGAAGCCATCATTCTATTCTGCGGGTTTTTTTTTTACTACTAATGAGATCTATTCTGCCTCGATCCTGATTGTCATACAATTTCTTTAATCTGTGCAGAATAATTATAGTGGGCAGCATATGAGTACATGTGGCCAGTACAGTAAAACTGGTAAATGACTCATCAAATTGGTTATGGCTCCATTGATTGCTATAGAACAAAACAGAGAGATTCCCCGGAGGAATATTAGTAATCCATGCATTCCATTAAGGTGCCCCCTTTCGGGATGTTCCAATGGTTAATAGTAATTGCTCCATGCCTTACTTCTTTGACTTCTGTTCACAGAATAATCCATGGGGAATTTCACCATTTAAATGCAAGGAAACATTTTTGTTCTGTGTGTGCAGCCCAGCAACTCATTCAGTATTTGTCACAATTCACCAGGCACTTTCCTTTCCGTTAGCTTGTGTGCTTATAACTCTCATTCCCTCTCACATCCTCTCTCTCTCATCTTCTTGTATAGATTTAAAACCCAATGCAAGCCCTTCCCCACAGGCCTCTCAACTGTATATTTTGGTCACATGATGCACAGAGTCCTCTTTTCTGCACCCCTTCGCCAGTGTTGGGCAGTCCTAAAAGATGCAGAGGCTCACGGTCACAATGCACTAATTCAACCAGGAAGGAAGACTGGCAGCAAGAAATTACTGTATCGGCTGGCAGTGTCAGAGAGAAGGTGAGTATTGGAGCTGGAGATGCTTTTTTATTTACTGTAGAAAAAACATAGAAACATACAGACAACATAGAAACATACAGAAACAACAGACCAAGTGGTCAATCAAGTCTGTCCCTTTTTTTTTTATTGTTTGAGGATGTCCTAAGCCTGTTTAAATTCACTTACTGTTGACTGATTCACTACCTCTGCTGGTATTCTGTTCCAAACATTAAAGGAGAACTATGGGGTTAAGGCTTTTCCCCATAGTTCTTCTTAGGGTAACGGGAGGACACAAACTAGCGTCCTCCCGTCACCCTAGGCTCAGTATACCGCGAGCTGTAGCTTGCGGTATACTGAGACGCCGCAGTATACCGCGAGCTGCTGCTCGCAGTATACTGAGACGCCGCAGCTGAAGCGGATCCCGACAATTGTGCCGGGATCTGTCCAGCTGCATGACTGACAGCTGGCTCTGCCTATCTAGAGGCAGAGCCAGCTGTACCCGCCCCCTCCCCCGTCCGTTCCGCCAGTCAGCCCTGGCGGATCGGAGCGGGGAGGGGGAAATCCAACCCCTCCCCTGTCATGGCAGAGATCCGTGACAGGATCGAGAGGTGAGCGAACGCCAGTATGTGTTCGCTCACCTCCCGATCTACTGAGCTGACCTGTGACCGTCTCATTGTAACAGGTCGGCTAGAACTATGAGGTGAGTGAAAAGCACTCACCTCATAGTTCTCCTTTAACTACTCTTTTGGTAAAATACTCTCTAACTTTACTCTTTAGCTTTCCAACTAATTTGAGGTCATGCCCTCATGTTCTCGATCTCAGCTTCATCCATAAAGCTTTTCCATCAATAATATAAAGCTTTTCCAATAATATCTATCTTGTTATAAACCAAATGAATTACTTAAAGTGACACTAAAATCAAGAATTAAACCCTAAAATGCATTCAAAACAAAAATGTAGCTTATTCCTGCATCACTTGGTTGTAGATCCTCAAATCATCTCTAAGTTCATGCTGACACTGTCCTTCCTTCTGGAGGGTGGCTACTTTTGTTCCTCATGGTCCCTGTGCTTGTTGTAAAGTAGTCACCGCTCCAAGTTCGCTCCCGTGATGGACTACAACTTCAATACAAAAAAAAAGTAAACTAAATATGAGATTGTAGTCCATCATGTGAGCGAGTTTGGAGCAGTGGCTACTTTACAACACACAGGGACCATAGGGAACAAAAGTAGATACCCTCCAGATGGAAGGACAGTGTCAGCACCAATTCAGAAATGATCTGAAGATCTACAGCTGAGTGATACACAATTAAGCTACATTTCTGTTAATAGTTAAGGAAGTTGAATGCATATTTAAGATTTATTTTTCAGTTTAGTGGCAACTTAACTGACTTACTGTCACTTACATGTCACTAGCAGAACTAGATGTATAGAGCTGATTTTCCAAAATTTCCTTCATATGTTGGACTTGCGACACAGCTTGGATGTAACTTTGAGAGTTTTGGAATTGATGGGGTCCTAGAATTTCCAGCTTTCTCTCCACATGCTGCAGTTGTAGATAGAGATAGCGGTTCTGATCTCCACGAGGCATCCTCTCACACAGTCCTTTATCTGGAGTAGGACTCCTTATGTCTTCTGAAAATAATCCAAATAAATAAAAGGGTGAAAGTTTTATGACAGCGTGTCAGGGATCTGAACACCTCCAGGTGGCGCTGGAGCAGATCTGGGAGTTCCAGTGCTCTCCTGCAGGTGTCTCCAGGCAGTGAGTGGCTGTCAGGCACCTGAGCGCCTCCAGGTGGCACTGTGACTCTGGAACCAGGTCCTGCACTTCCAGGCCTCACCTGCAGGTGTCAGCAATTAGGCACCACCTGATACTGATCTGGAAGGGTATTTAATCCCTCCCTGCAGTGAGCCTGGTGCCACAGTATTGTCACCATTACCTGCATCCTGTGACATGTTTCCTGTGATCTGTTTCCTGCGATCTGTTTCCTGCATCCTGGTGCCTCCTTGTACTCTGACCATTGGTCCGTGGCTCCCCTCATGTTGCCTTGCTCCCCACGTTCACTTGCCCTGTTACCTTTTGTGTGTGGTTATGTTGTTTTGCATTTCAGTTGGCTATTATTAGTTGCGTGTGGTTACTTGTTTTCAGTGTGTTGAATAAACTATATGCTCAAAAGCAGTATCTGGTGTGGTCACACATTTGGTCCTCCCGTATAGATACCTGTACGCGGTGTGGGGACACCCGTGCACGGTATCTTGACACTGTGCTAAAATGCACGTACAGTATATATTTTAATGGTGCATTTAATGTGAACACGTATCGCTAATAAGTAGACCCCCAACCTCCCATGAAAAATGCTTAGAAAGGAAAAAGTGTCAGAGCAGATTTTTGTGATGTCTTGTGCATTTGGGGTACTTGGCTTTCCCAGGATTCCACTGGAAGGCTGAATTAAATCTCCAGTGCCTAGGTAAGTACAACAGAAGTTGGGTGTAATGGAATAACTTTTCCTTCTATTTTTTATTTTTTCCAATCATTTTTACATGAAGTGATGGGGGTCTACTCGATAGCATTGCGTGTTAATGCAAGGTCTTCTTTAATGCACCTTTGTGGCAGAATATTGGCTAGTCAATAATTAGTGTTAATTAAAAGGTGTTCCTCTCAGTGCTGGGGTAACCAACATATATAACACTCAGAACTTTAGTTATCCTTCAAAAATTGATCTAGCCATAAGATCTGACTGGATTTTGATGACTTTGAAGACCATTCCCACAGATCAAAAGGGCCTATACTTCAACTCCTGGTATATCTAGGTTCTTCATTACCCTCTTTGGGAGAAAATATAGATGATTTGCTCTGCTGCTGCAATTGTTTGTTTTTTACCAAAAATTTGTAGACCTCATTCCATAATATCCATGTGAAATCCATAACGCTTTATTACAGTTTGCTGTCTAAACCCAGTCGCAAAGCTAAATAATTTACAAGTGTCCCATTTCACTCCAGACCCGAATCCCTTAGTAACATACTGGAAGGGTGCTGGGTGGGAAGCAGATGGCCCCGCACAGATCCAAGTATAAAGAAGTAATCGCCCGCACACCTGCAATGTCCAACGCATCAATCGGTCCTTTTTTTTGACGTCAGATGCACATGGCATCACAAACATAAAGCAACGTTTCAGAACCTTTTTGCCTGATGAAGGGGCCATGTTAGGTTCCAAAACGTTGCTTTATGCTTGTGATGCCATGTGTATCTGACGTCAATAAAAGGACAGATTGATGCCGGGGACTTTGGTAGACATGTGCGATTCGTTTCGTTACGAATCGAAATTCGTACGAATTTTCCTGAAATTCCGAATTTCGGAGCATCTGAAATCCGACTTTGGTGAGCGGGCGATTACTTCTTTATCCAAAGCTAAATAAAACCCACACTTGCCGCTACAAAAAGTACATTGCTAAAGGTGTATTCGGATTTTAACCTGCTTTTCCATCAAACGTTGGCCCTATAAATTACTAGGATGGCCACATTTGCTTCATATTTTTAATGCCTTGTAAGGAATCAAGGACGAGATTGGACAAATCTTATTATTTAAACAAATGTAGTTGTTTCTCTAATGCTAATAAAAGATAATGTTTCAATATCCTGTAGAATGTAGGTTATGATGTATTATGCTGATGTATCCTCAGTTTAACTTAGCCCCAAATGTAATATTTACATTTTCTGTGTGCAAGTTGGCCTCCTCTACTGCCTTCATTTTTTTTACTGCACACTGTAGTGATATATTTATATGTTTAGAAACAACCTAGTGGATACTTGCCTGTAATATGTTTTTGTTACAATTATATTTCCTTCCCAATAAAATGGGCCTCCAACAGCCATACTTCTGGATGGTGGATGACAAAGCTGCCCCATAGCTGCAGGCATAGATGTCCCTTTCTATTTGCTGTGTAGACTGCAGGAGCAGCATGGGTTATCAGAAAGCCTGTTACATTACCTAAAGGTCAAACTTTTGACTTCAAGTCACAATGGCCCCTTAAAAAAGAGAAGGGATAGTATTCCAAGCTCACAAAGAACTGCTTCACTACCCAGACCATTCCCTAAATGCAAGGACTGCCAAAAAATTTAGTCCTTGGGGTGACCTTTGCAGCCTTGTCCTTCCTTCACAGCTCCATCTACATTTAAGATTAAAGATTTCTTTAATGTGTCATGTGGTTTCAAGGTCAGAATTAAAAACAAGTTATATATTTATAAGATTTTCTCTTTTAAATGAAAGTCACAGAGACTTTTTTTTTATTGACCACACACAAACACACAATGATGATGTGGTTATCATACATATGTATACCCAATGTGCCGGGCCATCCAGTCATGCTTACTGTATATTTTCAGTTCTATGTCAGTCAAACTGGCAACCTACCATGTAAGTCTACGGAGCCCAGGCTGAGGTTCAGTGACCTCTCCTTTTTCTTATTATCATCATAAAATTCCTGGCTAGCTCTGTTCTGTTTCATAATAATTTCTTCAACCAGAGACAGAAGTTTATTGATATCAGCTGAATTCCCAAGGTGTATTTCTAAAAGTGGAGACTTCTGGGCTTTAAACAGCAAGTTGGCAATTCTTCTGATGTCCTATATGAAAATAGAGGAATATAATTTACTGTAATTAGAATAAAATTGCAATCTCACATTGTTACAAATAATTCAGCAAATCTCTAAAAATCCCCGTAGTGGGAATTTTATTAAGGTTGTGTAGCCCTGTTGTGATTTCAGCTCCTTTAAGAGGAAAGATATTGCAGCTGCAGGTGGAGCCAGAGAGCACAGGTTGTGGAGACTGTATACAGAGCTGATTTGGATACGTTGGCTGAAAGGATTTTTGAGAACTGCATTACCCAGGAGGCTGTGGGGAAGGAAAGAGGAGGCTTATGGGTTGCAACTGCAGAGCATCCTCAATCTGGGACAGCCATCTGAAGAGGACAGACCTGTGTTACCCTGTGTGGGTTAAGACTGTGTGCAATAGAGCTGTGTGGTCACCGCTGACATACAGGGACACACAGGCTCTGTGCAGCGGTGTACTGAGAGACTGACCTGAGTTGCTGAATCAGAGAGGACCCGATCGAGTGTCTGAAGTGAGGACCGGTGACGTCGAGGCCTAGCCGCACGGCCGAACCAGCCACCGGGGTGATCCAGCCAGCCCAGTTGAGAGGGAGTAGCCAGATGGAGACGACCGAGATGACTGCCAGTCTCCTGAATGAGTGAAAACTTCTTACAAGGGACCCAGATGACTTCACCTTCCTCCCAGAGTCGACTAGAGAGAGAGAGGACACCCAG